ATCCATACATCAATTGTGTCAAGCATATTTGTACATAGGTTGCCATCATTATTTTCTAGACATTTGCTATTTGAGCCCTTGGTATCAGCTGCTCTTTTTCCCCCTCCCTCCCCCCAACCCTCGTGACCTCTTGATAAATGATAAATGATTATTTTCATATCTTATACCGATCGCTGCCTCCCTTCACCCACGGTTTCTGTTGTTTGTCCCCCTGCAGGGTGTATGTGTGTAGTTATGTGTCAATCATTGTGATCAGTTCTCCCCTCACTCACCCCCTCCCCCCTCCTCCTTCTGGTATTGCTACTCCCATCCCTGTTCCTGGATTCCATGTGTCCTAGGCTCTTATCTCTTACCTGTGCCTGTGCACATGCTTTTGCACATGCTCTGGTCTAGCCCGCAGTGAAAGGCAGGACTGGGGTCATGATAGTGGGGGGGTGAGGAAGCCTCAAGGAACCAGAGTATCGTGTGTTTCATCGGTGATTTACTGCACCTGGTTGACTCATCAAATAGGGGCAGTTGGTGACACCTGAAGCTTTCCAAGGGACCCAGCAAAGCTGGCTGGGGCTATCGAAGCTGAGGACAGCGAGGATCTTCCCCCAGAGCCACCACAAGTGAGGCTTCTTCTGCAGCAAATTCCCTAAATCCAGACTTCACTCCGAGCCTCCTCCACTGAGAGAAGACAATTTTCTGCTCTTTAAAGCTGCTCACTTCTGATGTGTCTGTAACTAAGACCCCACGGATGAGGGCCACTCACCCACTCGTGGCCATCAGGGTCATTCAAAGCCATAGTCACCTTGAAGGGCAGAGTCAGAATTGCCCCTGAGCATTTCTAAAGGTGCACCTTCGCAGGAGCAGAACGGCTCACCCTTCTCCTGAGGAGCGGCTGGGAGATTTGAACTGCTGACCTGTGGTTAGCAGCCCCACCACTCCAACCAGAGGGTATTGCTAACATTCACTTTGTTATTGAGAAAAACCTCAATAGCAGAAATCAAGCCCCAAACCCCAAGAGCGCTCAGCCCTCTAATGATGCTCTGGGTCCTTCCACTGACCGGGCACCTGCTGTGCACTGGGGCTGGGGGAAGGTGGGAAGGATGCAGTAGAGAAAGCAGACAGGCTTGTGAAGCAGGACTGAGCAAGGCATGTGTAGAGTGGGGGCCAAGCCAGAGGTACTCCATCCTGGGGTTGGGGGGGCAGGAAACACAGCAGGGTCAGCTGGGCAGACAAAGGTAGGGAAAGGAAAGCCAGGGATGTCAAGATCAGAGATGCAGGAACGCAGGTCCCATGTGCGCTGGGGGAACACATGGAATGGTTTGCAGAGGTTGACACTGTCAAAAGCCACAGGTGAGGCCCAGGAAACAAACCACATTTGCCATTTCTGTTGGTTTAGAGCCACTTGAATAATGTCTCATTTGATTTTGTTTTGAAGCAGCGAGTTAAGATTTCTGAAGCCCTTTTATCCCCTTTAGTCAGAACAGAAAATAGCAGAATGGGGGGTGAAAGCCTGCCTTTTCTGCAGGGCCAGGTGAGGCTCCCAT